TTCATTGATTCTGAGTCTTTGTGGTATACCGTCCATTGTGAAAGGACGATTCCTTCCATGATGGATTGCCACTGACAGTAGTATTGACCTCTTAGACATAAAATGAAATATTCATAAGGGAATTTGAGAAGCACATCACATCCATCTAACAGAACAATAGCAATTGCTTCCCAACTGGAGTCTATGACCTCTCTGGACATGAGTTTTGTTCCTGTCTTATAAAAATCAGGCACAAATTTCCTATTGTGGAGTGGGCTGTAAATCCAACCTGAAAGCTGTTTGTTGGACCCAAACAGTAGTTGTGCCACTGTACCACCAGGAGGCATATTCTCTGTGTCCTGTTGGCATTGGTCACACAGGGTTTATGACTGAGCAGGAGTCTTGGTGACAATTGTCCCTCAGTAGTCTGCATCATGGTACCATGTGGACCCAAACAGTAGTTGTGCCACTGTACCACCAGGAGGCATATTCTGACTCTCCTGTTGTCTGTTGGCATTGGTCACACAGGGTTTATGACTGAGCAGGACACTTGGTGACAATAGTACCTTAGCAATCTGCATCACCTGGTACCATGCAAGCCAGCTAGAATGGAGGTAGCGTCCACCTTATTACAGCATCATTTCTCTGTAGCCTGCAACCTGAGCATGTGATGTCTTCAGCTATAGTGACCTACCATCTAGTTTCAGCATGTAACCAACAGTAGTGGCAATAGCCTTCATGGTTTGTCGGGGAGATATTCACCTGCCACTGACATCCAAGTGCTGGTGCTTAATGTTTCTGACAACACATTGCGATACGAATAACCTGTTAAAACACTCCCAATAGGTTTCTAGGGTAGACTGATTGCAGCGTATTGCATTTAGTTGAGGTCTGTGCATCAGTGTTTGTGAAATGAGGAGCCTTGTCATGGTCAATTACGACACTAAAAGCGTTGTTGGTGATTTTGCCTGTTACTTCCCTGGAAATGATGTAAGAGGCCTGTGCCTGTGTCCACACTTAGGAGGGTATATTTGCACCTGTCACTGGTTCGCATAGATTGAATATGGTGTGTTTGCCAGTACTTGAGGGAGAAATTGGCTTACATATGTGGCCTGCCAAAACATGTAGAACAGGCAAAATGTGTTTGGCACCTCAATAAAGATGTCTGCAGAAAAAGCAGTGATTCCTGCCTTCATGTGTTTTCTCTGTGATGAGTGTGTCTACTCCAGTGGCTGCTACAATCCTCCAGTAATGGATAGCAGCTGCATTATCCTTCCAACATGGACTAAATAGCTACAACTCTAGGAATTTTTCAGATCTCTGCCAGAACAGTCCTCCTGAGACGCCCAGCTGTGTGGACTGTGCAGCTTCTGGGTTGTCCTCTCTGTCCTGCACATAGACATTGCTGGACTATCAACAGCAAGGTGAGCTCATCTACTGACCATCATAGGTGAAGTGATTGATTTTCTTTCAATATTGAGACTTTGTTCTCTTTCTTAATAATTAGCCCGTTTTCTAAATGGATTCATTGGGAACCCATTTTTTCCACCGTTGGGAAACCTGAAGCCCAAGATCTGTTATTTTTAGCTTTAGTCCCCCAAATTCCAGATATAATGAAAACCTTTTCCCTTATATGTAATGAAAGGATACGTTCTGGCACTGAGAGGTGTTCCCGAAAGGTCCAACTAGACTTTACAAGTGAATAGCCAGAATGTGTCCTAGTTTCAAACAAGACTAGGTGGAATCACACTATGCATGGAAAATTTAGTCATGTATCAACTCCCCTCCAGATTAAACTATAAACTGTATGTATTGACATAGGCTAAATTGTGCTTATTGGCAGATACTAAATCTTGGAGTATTTTGTAAACATATAAAAAAAATCAGTTGAAGGCCAGCTGAGGTGGCTCAAAACTTTATTCCCAGCACTTGGGAGGTGGAGGCAGGAGGATCTCTGGGAGTTCAATACCATCCTGGTCTACACAATAAGTTCCAGGTCAGCTGAGGCCTACAGGGATACCCTACCTCAAAAATAAAATAAAAAGAGGAAAAAGAGAAAAGAGAAGGAAAAGAAACAAAAATCCATAATAATAATAAGATAATAAAAAACAGAAAATCAGTTGATAACACTATCTAAGAGACATATTAGAGAGGTGTGTTTTAATATAAATACAGTGAAGAATAGATATTATGATTTCTAAAATAGCCTCAAGAGTACTGTGGAACTCCAATGGTTGAATTGAATTGACCAATCTATCAACATAATAGACTATAATCAAGATATTAAAAATAGTCCTCCAGAAATTGTATGTATTTATTGATTTTGTTTGTGTGTCTGTGTGAATACCATATGCACATAACATATCACAGCAGGCTATGGCAGTCAGGCAATAACACGTGGGAATTGTCCATGCAGTTCCTGGAGATTGAACAGAGGTTATCACCATCACTGGCTAGCAACTTTATCTGCCATAAAATTTTGCCAGCACTTTCTAACATCTCAATCAGTTAAAAAGAGCAGAAAGCAGTCTGTAGTCTTTTTTAAAAAATATTTTCTTTGTTATTTTTATCTGTATGAGTGTATTGCCTGCATGTATGTGAGTGCATCCATGTCGTGCAATGCCGCGGAGGTCAGAAGAGGGCTATGGATTCACCTGGAACTGGAGTTAAGGATGGGTCGAAGCTGCCATGTGGGTGCTAGGAATCGAACCCAGGTCCTCTGAGAGAGAGTCTGTGCTCTTAACCGCTGATCCATCTCTTCAATCCCATGGCCTGTAGTCTTAATCTAAATTTATTCCATTTTATATGTATGAATGTCAACCTCCATGGGTGTATGTGTTCCATGTGAGGGCCTCATCCCAGCAAGCCTAAAAATTTGGTTTTATTGAATTTTTGTGTTTTTCATACAGTACATATCAATATTAATCATGTTTATAACTCCCGTCCCCACTGGCACCTTCCCATAGCCCCACCACTGTAATTCGTACATTCTGTCATTTGTGTTAAGGCCTAATGTGTCAAGTTAGTGTTCCCAGATGTTCTTCAATGCAAGTTCATCTGAGGTCTACTCAAGTTATCTAGAGTCCCTTGGTTTAGGAAGATCAGCTTGTCCTCACCTAGCAATAATCAGTTGCCAGTGTTTCTTCAGCTCAGATTGGGGTCTGCTGTCCATTTATCCAGTTCTGTTACTGGGTTTTTGGCTGCTTCGGTTTGCATGGGACTTGTGTACGCTGACCTCATTACTGTAGATTCAATACGAGCAGGGTCCCAGGAGTATGCAGAACTATATTTTCATATGGCTGTGCACTTCTTCCCTGGCTCTTAACAATCGTTCTACCCTCTTTTCTGCAATGACCCCTGAGCCCTCGGTTGGTGGACTTTAATATAGAGGTTATGTCCAAGGAACCACATTCTGCAG